TGGTGGCTGCTTCAGTTAAAGTGGACCGCACTCATGATAAAGGCACGTCTACCTTTAGAAAATATGGCTGGTTTTTGAGCTTGAGTATATAATGGCTGAAAAATGAATGGGTAGGATACTGTTGAAGAAGTAGCGAGGCGCGGCTAAGGCTCTATTAGTCAGTAGTTAAACCTTGCAGCCGCGGAATATATCAGTCTCGTGGATGATGCTGCCGAATTCCTCATACGTTTGAAATGCAATCAGAAACGATTTACCTGCTGCAGTTGTCTTTCATAATGATTAATTATGTTACAGTTGCTTATATGCAGCTTCTCGTTTAATTATATTGTGCGTAAAAGATGATAAAAAATGTTCAAATTTGGAAGCGGGTGTTGCAGTGAACATTGTACCATAGATGGAGCGGAAGTTTTTCAGAAACATCGTTTAAACTAATGAATGAGGTAGCTAGCGCTTCTTGTGGAAGTTGCAAGGAGTTAAATCGAAATCTAAGTTTTTGCTCAGAGTAGTTTGCAAAAGCATGTTTATTCAAAAATCAGTGAAATTTTCGTTACGACGTGTTCATGCGGCGTTTCGGTATCAAGATTGTTTACGTCATGTCAGGAGAACCAAGTAGTGTTTTGAGTAGGCGTGAACATTTTATACGTGTTTAAGGTGAGATTTTCATCCCAGTATAGTCTAGTTTTTATGAATTCATTAGTCACTTAGCGATTTCAGGAAATTGTTGGTTTGTAAACAGTGTTTGAAAACTGACAGATGTTCGTTGACATGCTGACCGACTCACCTTAACGAATGAAATAATGTCAGGCATTGATCACGGAAACGTTTCTTTAACATCGAACAAAGTTGCAAAGAGTTATTGATCAGAAGGCAAACTGCCTCTGCAATACATAGCGAGTGCAGAGTACGATAGTGAGTCATAGCTATGCACGTAAACCCTTAAACTGATAAGGGATACACTGTAAGGGTTTCGGCCAAATATCGGCTATCGTTAAGTAACCTCACGTAGTAGTACTCGTAATGCCTGCGGTGCGCAGCTAAGGTGCAGTAAGTTGGAGGTGTGATGTTACAGACATGAGTATCAAATGATACTTGTAGTGAAGAGAATGGGTTAATGATTAACTGTGCTGTAAACCTGACGAGCGACTGAACATTTATTCGAACGGTCGATTTTCGCTTCTGCAGACTCCAAATCGATTATTAGTGAAGTGGCTTTGTCACCAGGCAGCGCGTTCGCCGCGAGTTTTGCTTTGTATCAAACAGATTCGCCCGTACAAGTTAAATGAGGAAAAGGATGGAGTAAAGACGAAATAAACCGAGTTATAATCAGACTACGAAAACAAGTTAAACCTACGCTACAGGTTGAGCAGTAAATGTTCTGTAGCTTAATCCGTTGGCATGATAGAGATTATAAAGTGGCATTAGCTGTTGCGCTTAATAGGGAAATGGCTACTTCTGCTACTGCAAAGTGGATTAACTAGATCGTGATTATGGATGGTCGACAGACGTTAATATGTTGCATGCCATCTGAATGATCAGTTTGAGGTTTATTGTCCACGCGTCGCTGACGTCTGATGTAAAGTCGTAACTGACTCATTCAATAAACTTTTTGATTTGGTGGGTGTAGTGTTGCCTCTGGGTAATACGTTCCATTTATTTCAAGATGACGTGCTGGTTGCATGGTAGCTGAATTTTTTCGCGTGTAAGTGAAAAGTTGAATCTACCTCGGGTCTTTCAAGAAGCAGAATGAAATGATTTATACACAGAGCAAATAATTTGACCAATTGGATAATGACCGGCGGCGGGCTTTCGGCCCCATCTTCTGGTTGGTGAGCTCATGGAGTCCTGTCGTTCAACGCAGTTCGTATGTTCATAGCGAGAGGGTCAAATTGTATTAATAAACCAGAAGGCTGCATAAATATACCGTGTTTTGTGCTGCTTTCAGTATGATCGAAAACGAATCATTTACTCAATAATCCGATTTTCCTTCATTTTCTTTTACAGCAGAATTCGTTCTAGTCTAATGAGGTTTCTTTAATGCCCAGTCTCGGGCGGTGTTATCTGGTTCGCCAAAGTAACACGTTGCATACGCAGGGAAGTCTGGTATTCGATTTGTTTTTATTATATGTTTCTTTGTCTTTATACAGTCCCAAACAGCTTACTAATATGCATTTTATTCGTATTTCTCTTGTCTGTAGAATCTCAATCTTATATTGAGTTAATTGCTCCACGCCTTTAATTGTCTGAATATCTATTTGAACTGACGACTAATGTTTCGCAGAATATTTACTTTGACATCAGATCTTCGAGACACCATGAAAAGCTGAAAGAATGATAAGAAAGGACTATTGAAAACTGGCTTGGAGCATGATGCACGGCTCAAACCTTTGAAGGCAGAGAGGCAAACAGGAACGTTCCGGCGCCACAGCATGTCAAAAAAGAGATTCAGTCGATATTGGGCAGTAAAGAGTATGGGGGATTCGACAATACTGATGACGCAGGGAATCGTTCTCAGTTTGGATAAGCACGTGTGTGCTGATGACCATTCTGCGACGCAGTTTCTTGAAAAGCAGAAAAGCCGCAGATTAATCCACGAATGGAGTGTATTCACAAGTCAAATGCAGGGTATCTCTGAGAGTAACTTTAACGCCAGAATCGTTTCCATTGTCTTGTCTGATAGTGACGCCACGCTGTGGAGGTCGGCAACACTTGAAAACAAAGGGTTTAACCTCACTAGTGGAATGTGCACAAATCCGTTGCTAGGAACTGCCATCTGCAATATTGTGTTTTTACTGCCGCTGCCAAGTTTTGAACCTTTTCCTTCGCCCAGGGAAACGATAATCGCTTTTGCCTTCGCTTGATGCAAGTCCGGTACTTTCTGCCTTTAAGAACGGTTCGTGGTATTATGTACAGATCTGCACGATGGCCATTTCTGCAGCATCGCTGGTATGCGATGAAGTCCAGCCGCTCCGCTATTTCTAGGTTTAATGACAGTCGCAGTAACTTTTCAGTTTAGAGTGCTGCCTATTGATTTCTAGATTTGGGCTTCAGGTATCGGCAGTTTTCTTCCGTTTTTTGACATGATATTGCAGGAAAAGAGAAGAGAATGGTCATTCATCATCTGGTGATTGACCGCTTCTGACCCAACGCAATGCTATTCAGAATTTTTTGTGATTCATAATCCAAGAGCTAGTGGCTGAAGAGAACAACGAGGCATAACAGAAACCCGATTCTGTTTATTCCAAACCATGCAGGGCATAATTTGACAGTTTAAAGCATTATCGAACATTCGGAATTATATTTTACACACACAGTTGTATCCATGGTTATTACGTATTATTACTTCTGTATTTGTTATATATGCCTTTACATACCCTTAAGTTCACTTACTTATTGGCATATGTATTTTTGTATATCCCTATATACACCGTCTGCTCTGCAATCCCATCTTCTGAACAGATATTTATGCTTTTTTCCATGGATTCGATCTTACCTTCGTCGTCCGTCCTGAAATTAGAATTGATGCATACACAGAGACATACGCGCAGATGCAGTAACGCTGAGCACAAGCCATCCTTGATATGCGCTGTTGTTTGAGCAGAACCTCCATTGCTTACATTTGGCTAATATTTCAGGAAATTATTGATTTATTTTTACACATGCCATGTATCACCATTCCTTTACGCATAATAAAAGTTCTATTTCTGAACAGCGGATATGTACAGCAAGGCACTTCCCAAAGATTTGATATCAATTTATCTACTACAGTCGCTTAAGTAGCATGAAGCTGCGACTTAGTGACTCTCT